CCCACCTGATGTGTGCCAGCTCTCTGAGGTCACATGTGCTGTGCCGCACCTGTACCTCCCAACACTCCCTGCAAGTGGAAGATTCTACTTGAGAGCCTCACATCACCCTACAGCTTGGAGCCCGTGGCTGGTGGGACATTTTCTGGCTACTCTTAATGCCTTTGTCCCGACTGTCAACCCAAATGCTAACTATTGTGGTCAAATACATACAACATAAAATGTAATGCCTTAGCTATTTTTAAAATGTATTGTTTAGGGCCATTAGGAACATATCTGTTGCTGTGCAACCACCACCGCTAGCCACCTGTAGGACCTTTTCATCTTGCAAAATTTATCCACTGAACTCCTGTCCCCTCTGCACCTAGGCCCAGCAACCACAATTGCTTCTACTTTTTATCTCCATGAATTTGACTCCTCTAGAAACCTTATGTGGGTGGACTCATGCGGTATGTGTTCTTTGATGACTGTCTTATTTCATTTAACAGCTAGCCTCAAAGTTCACTCATGGTGTAGTGTATGTCAGAATTCTTTTTTAAGGCTGAAAATATTCCATTGCAGCATCTCTCCTGCCTGCCTGTGACTATGCAAGTACCTCTCTTTTTCATTCTCATTTTCCTAATCAACTCATCTTTTAAAAGATTAAAAAAAAAAATTCCATTGCAAATATAGGCTATCTTTTGCTTATCCATTCATCTGTTAATGGGACAGTTGGGTTGCACCCGCCCCTCCACTATGTGAATCATGCTGCTATGAACATGGTTGTGCAATTACCTCTTTAAAAATCTTTCAGTGCTGTCAGGTATAAACCCAGAGGGGAATTAAAAATGCTAACATTTTTAGTAAAATGTTAGTAAAAACACGAACACTCCTACTTGCTGCTGATAGACTGGGTTTCCCCAACCCTGTGTTTATGAAATTCACCTATTTTTTTAAAAAAGATTTATTTTATTTATACAAGAGCTGGGGTACAGGCCAGATGCGTGGGAGGGTAAGAGGATTCATCAGAGACAGAGTGGGGAACAGAACAGGCAGACTGACTGAAATACACTGCTGAGGGGAGCAGCGGGTGAGACAGGAGAGGTCTGTTCGCCATGTGGGTTGCTCTGAGGCCGGTGGGGATCAAGCTGGCACTGAAGAGGCTGCGGACAGCTTCACAGCGCTGTGCTCAACCACCTGCACCACCAGGGAGGCCCTAAAATTCACCTTTTGATCCCAAATGAAAGACTTTCTCATGGAACTACCACCTTACAAATTGTTCTCATCACCTCAACCTGTTGAAATAATTAAACCATTTACATGAGCTGCTTGCTGTGTGTGCCTAATTATCATACAGCACAATAGTGCTCATGTATTTCATTAGCTCTATGTCAGATGAGCTAGCAAGGCTCTATGCCAAGTGCAAGGTTTGTTTCTCACAAAGCCTGGTCACCTGTCCCCAAATTATGTCATTTAATGAGAACACTGATACAAAAAACAACCCCTGCCTGCTCTAACCTACACTCCCACCTACTTCACCCCACTGCCAGCCCTCCTTTGCCTCTTCTTATGAATCTCTGCACCCATCTCTTAGTTTACTTCCATATTCCTTTTTTTATTTCCTGAGAAATGGTTGGGTAGGCCTGTTGCATGCTGTGAAGGGGGTGGGCAGCAGGACTGCCTGCCCAGCTGGTATGGTGCCTGGAGGAGCCTAGGAGGGAAGGAGTTAGTTGGCAGCATAGTACAGAGAAAGCATATGGGGGAAAGGTTTTAAAAGAAGAAAAAAATCTTAATGTTGAGCATGTTAATGTCCCTGAGGACAGGTGCACCTGTCCAGAGCAGCGAGCCAGGAAGAGGAGGGGCGACAGTCAACCTGGAGAGCCAGAACTATACAAGTGTTGTTATTCCTCAGTCCACCCCCAGCTCCACACTCTAATCGGCAGATCTCTTGCTGCAGGGCAGCACCAAGGTCCCATCGGATCACTCACACACTGTTTTCCACTTCTACCTATAGTCTTAGGTTTTGAAATCACGCAACACAGTAACCCTACTTTGGGTAAGGAGAGGGTCAAACAATTTGCAACCATGTTTAAAGGCTGCCATGTATGTACATGTATATTTCCCTGTATGGTGATAAAGCCTTAACTGTGCATACAGATGTTAACCTCCACACTGTGATATTCTGAGGGTTATATGGTCTCACAGGAGGAAGAAATCACATCCCCTCAGGGTCTCAGACTGTTGTGGATGAGGTTGGTTATGAAAGTCAGGCCCTGAGCAATAGGTATTGCATCACAGATGGAGCTGGAGAAGAGATGGGCCAGAAGATATGAGCAGAGACACTGAGGCAAGAAGAGCATGGAAAGAATAACATGGGAGAAGAGGCACAGGGAAAGGCAAAAGGAAAATGATGAGGGTGTGCCGGAGGAGGTGACCTAAGGAATAAATAGAACCCCCCCCCCCAGCATGTCATGTCAAACTGGCAAAGATCAAGGATGGGGGTAGAGATGCGAGGGTTATAAAGCTCGTTGCAGAGACAGATGTTATAGGACAATGGAGACTTGACCTGATTTCTTAGGTTAAGAGAAAGGAGTGACTAGAGAGAGAGCAATTCAAGTTCCAAAAGAGTAGGGGACTGGCTAATGAGGTGAGGGGTCCAGGAGACAGAGGAAGTGGGAGTGGAGGGCTACTTCACCCGGAAAATGAGAAGGTGCTTATTTTCTCCAAGGTAAAAGGAAAGGAAAAGGGCTGCTGATTAAGAGATTTGGGGATTAAAAACAAGCAAGCAAGAATGAATAAAAAGTAGTGTTGATTAAAAAAAAAGAGATTTTGGAATACAAAGAAGTAATGGGGGTCTCCATGATGGCACAAGGGATTAAGACGCAGCCTATGAAGCTATCCCCAGCCACTGCAGCACAAGTTCCAGTCCTGGCTAGGGAGCTACCCACATGGCGCAGCAGACCTCTCCTGGCTTGCCCGCTGCTTCCCTCAGCAGTATATTTCAGTTGACCTGCCTGTTCTGTTCCCCACTCTGTCTCTGGTGGATCCTCTCACCCCCCTGAATCTCTGGCCTGTACCCCAGCTCTTGTATGCATAAATAAATAAATTTTAAAAATAAAAAAGAAGTAATGGGAGGTTGGATTGAACCCTCTGAATAAAATAAGAGGTAATGTTACTGAAAGTGAAGAGTCACCCACAGGTACATTAAATATTTCCAGGGAAACTTCTAAATAAACACAAAATACTAGTTTTTTTAGAAACCAGTAAAGTAGGCAGCTAGTCAGCTAACAACTGAAACACATGATTGCACAGTTCTGGTTTTTAGTGCTCTTTCTGATTACAAAATAATACATGGTCACTGTAGATAATCAGAAAAATATGAAAATGTACAAGAAATGAAAGTTACCTATGTACTCCACAACTATTAGATTTATTTCCATGCCATCAATATCTGATGCTGATACAGTTCTATTTTACAAATCAAACTACAAATATTTTACATACTTGAGATTTTTAAATAAGATTTACTTATTTATTTATGCATGGAAGAACTGGGGTATAGGCCAGAGGTGCAGGGGTGAGAGGATTCATTAGCAACAAAGTAGTGGGCAGAACAGGCAGATATACTGAAATACACTGCTAAGAGAAGCAGTAGGTAAAACAGGAGACGTCTGCTGCACAACATGTGGTTTAGCTCCCTGGCCCAGGATCCAACTCCCATTAGGGTGAGCCATCTTGATGACAGTGCTGAGACTTAACCCCTAGGCCCCATATTTGAGATTCTTTACCTAAGAAACCGTCTGTATTCTATACATAAGATTGATCATGTTTCAAGTCTCCAAACACATCTTTAATAGTTGGCTATATGGTATTCATGCTGTATAGAGACCATCATTTACTTAACCATCTTCCTATTTGGGAGCATTTAGAATATGCTGAGCCTTTATTATTTCATACACACATTCATACACACATACCTCATATATATAACACAGATACTCACATATACATATATAGTTAGTGAACCATCTTGCCTCTATACCTTTGCCTCTCTTTTTTCTAGGACACATCTTGGTGTCAGAATAAACACATTCTTTCAAGGATGTTGAAACATCTCACCGATTTTCTTTTCCAAAAAAGGGGCACCCAATTTTACTCTCAGCTAAGATAAGGCGGCTCACCAACACTCTTCAACCTTAAAAAGAAACTCCTGGAAAAGTTTAGTTTCTTCAGGCAGTTGGCATACTGGGATTTTTATCCGCTCTTCGTGTTTTAAAGAGTTGTTCAAAAAAGTGACTCTTTCAAACTCCCCCTTATTCCCAGATCCTGTGAGAATGGGATCTGAGATTGTGAATGGTACGAAAGGGCTAGGAAGAGACTTCTACGATCCAAGGAGCCTTCCCACCCTGAGCTTGGAATCATCACCATAGGCACCAGATTGCTCCAGCCTCAAGCCAAGAAGACAGATGGAAGAGGAAAGCCTTCCAGCGCTGGCTATTTTGGAAGAGTGGCTTTGATTAAAAAGAAACGGAGAAACAGGTGTCGCTGGACACGGGTTTGGACACTCAGCGCGCTGTCCGGAGGCCACTCCCTCCCTCCTCGCCCCTCCTGCCCCCTCCCTCCCCGCCCGCGGCCAGACCCCCTCCCTCCCGCCGGCCCCGGCGCGGGGCGGGGACGTCGGGGCGGCTCGCTTGGCACCTGCGCTCGGGCCAAGTTTGCGCGCGGTCTCCGTGGACTCTCGAGTTACCTGAGCCGGCACCACGTCAGCGCCACATCATCTGGGCTTTTGATATTGCAAGGAAACAGGAAAAGAGGGAAGAAAAACCTCTGCGAGCCGGCCAATCGCAGGCCGACGGCGCTGCCCGGGAGCGGGGCGGGCGGGCGGGCGCGAGCCGGGCGGCGGGCGCGCGGGGCTGGGCGGGGGCGGCGCGGGGCTGCCGGGCTGCGGGGCTGCGGGCTGCGGGGCGGCGGGGCGGGCGGCGCACCGGCCGGGCTGCGGCGTGGGCCTGGGCTGTGGCTGGCGGCGGCGGCTGGGGAAGATGCTGCAGTCCCTGGCCGGCAGCTCGTGCGTGCGCCTGGTGGAGCGGCACCGCTCGGCCTGGTGCTTCGGCTTCCTGGTGCTCGGCTACCTGCTCTACCTGGTGTTCGGCGCCGTGGTCTTCTCCTCGGTGGAGCTGCCCTACGAGGACCTGCTGCGCCAGGAGCTGCGCAAGCTAAAGCGGCGCTTCCTGGAGGATCACGAGTGCCTGTCGGAGCAGCAGCTCGAGCAGTTCCTGGGCCGGGTGCTGGAGGCCAGCAACTACGGCGTATCGGTGCTCAGCAACGCCTCGGGCAACTGGAACTGGGACTTCACCTCCGCTCTGTTCTTCGCCAGCACGGTGCTTTCCACCACAGGTAGGAGGCCCGCCGCGCCCCCGGCCGCGTGGCCCCCCGCACCCTCTGCGCCCCCGACTCCTCGCGGGGACTCCGGGGGCGCAGGTACCGCGGAGCCGGAAGCCGGCGGGGGGGCCTGGGAACTTGACTTGGGTTTACCTCCCCTAACTCTCGGGAGCGGTCCCTAAGCCCTTTAGCGAGGACTTTATGGAGTGCGTTCCTTTTTTCGCGATCCCCCCCTGTTCCCCACCGTCCGGCTCGAATCTGCCATCCTGGCTGCCGCGCGGCGAGACCGGGGGATGGTGGAAACTCCAGAGCTCCGAATCGCTCACCTTCCCCCTGACCCCATCCGGCAGGGCCGAGACTGCAGAATCTAATAATAAAGCCTAAAAGGGTCACCTTCCGTGGGGTGCCTCGTCTTTTTTGATGGTGCACAGCTATTTCAGCTGTATTCTACCTTGGGCACAGTTTTAAGGGTTGCCCGGTGACATCATCCTGCTCTTTGCAGGTGACCTCTGAGCGGACAGACCGATCCGGTTTCTTTTAAGAGGAGGAGGAGGGGTGAGGGAAGAAAGCATCTGATTCCCTTGATCTGGCAAAATGGGGGCACCCTGATTCAGCAGTATTTTCAACTTTAGGTGTGCGTGGCCATCCTTCAACTTCGCAGCGCCACTCCCCCTACCCGCACTGCTCACCCAGCAGGACGCTCTCTGGAGGAGCGTCCTCGGGTGCAGAGGCCGGTGCAGGAGGCCAGCAGGAGGCCAGCTTCTAGCCCGTGCTGTCATGGTGCCAGTTTAGATGAGTGAAAGCTGAATTTCTGCTGCCATGCACACACCTGGGTGGAGATATCTATAAATTGGCACCTGGACCCTGGAAAGTATCTCAAACTGTTCAGGGCAGTCCTGTCGCTTCATCCATTCGATCAAGTCTTTGAATAATCATCTCGACTGGCCCAAGGTCACACACTTCCTAGTTACCAGTGTAGTCCTGGAATCTGGGCCTTGGGATTTCCCAGAAAGGAACACTTTCTAACCTCTCCCACCCCCAGCACCTTTACAGGTGAATCAGCTTTGTGTTATTCCAACTCTGCCTTCACCCCACCCCCTTTCCACCTTCCAGGATTTATGTGTTTATAACCCTCTTGGGGTAAACCCTATTAATTATTTGGTCATCAGCCATAGTACTCAGTCCACATAGCTCTTGTAACACCATGGTTCAGAAGTCTGGCATGGATTACTAAACTGTTGTGAGTTGACCCTGAAATAAACCCAAGTAAAATAGTAATTTTTTTAGTGATTTTTTTAAAAATCATCTGAAAGGTAGCCCTAAACAAGACAGACCTGTTACCTTACTTTTCAACTTGCCCACACAGCTTCCTTAGTCTGACGTTGTTATCTTTACTTAGCTGTTCCTCAGATCAGTGAAAAGTCACCAGGCCTGTTTTGGAGCTGGGTTTATGCTGAAGTGAGAATCATTCATTCTCCACAGCAGTGTTTCCAGGAAGTGTACAACTGGGTCACAATGTTGGTTAAACATTGTGAAGAATGATGACTTTTAGCACTTCCCTTGTATTTTAAAGAACAAACAGGACTAAATATGTTGTCATGGTATGAGGAAAAGACTATCTTTGGTTTTTCTGGGTGAGACCTTACATAGGAATGCAGCTCTTGTGTCCTCTCAGTGTCATAAACATCTAAATAAATGCCCAAAGCATTAGTTTACATCTTGGAATCTATAATTATTTCCCAGGTTCTCTCCTGCTCCCTTCTTTAATGAGGAAAAACTGCAATTCTTCTTAAAAAAAAAAAAGGGAATAGACATCTGAATATTGGTATTCAGATTGCATTGTAATTCCTAAGAAAGTCCGTATTCATGAAAAACAAGAGTTCATTTAGGAAATCAGTGCAAGGGGCACTTAAGGATAAATGAGATGAAAAAGATGCCTCTTGGTTTGTAAAATTAGCAAATCAATGAATTCTTGTCATTGATAGAATAGAATCAAACTTACTAATTCAAATAGGGCTCAAGTAGACTTTAAAGTTCTATTCTAGATCAAAGACAGTCTTCTGTTGGTTTTGTGCAGATATATTAGCTGGCACCTTTGATGTTCCAGATGCTATCAAAATGCTTTTTCTTGTGGCAGAAGATCAGACAATTTTTAGAATAAAGCAGGTATACATAGTTACTAGATAAATAGTCTCTGGAAAAATACTATAGAACGCAAATAAATTGGAATTGTGGTTCATGAGTCTCTGTCAAATAGATGTCAAACATGCTATAGGTTTAAAAACAAAGACTTATGCACACTTTCTATGGCACATGCATGAGGCATTCTCTGTTCTGCCAGGTATGTGTGAATTAGCTATAGCAACACCTGTGTGAGGCTCATAAGAGAACAGAAGAAACAGTGCAATACACTTTCACCTTTTTAGAAGGGAGGACTTTGTACAAAAAAGGGAGAGGATAGAGACTGAGGAATTTCTCAATGCTAAAAAAAATCCACCCAATATATTTATTCAAGATTTATTTTTATACAAGAGCTGGGTTACAGGCCAGAGGTGTGGGAGGGTGAGAGGATTCACCATAGACAGAGTGGGGAGCAGAACAGGCAGATTGACTGAAATACACTGCTGAGGGGAGCAGCGGGCACAACAGGAGAGGTCTGCTCGCCATGTGGGTTTTTCCCTGGCTGGCTGGAATTGAACCCACGCTACAGAGGCTACGGACAGCTTCACAGTGCTGCGCTCAACCCACTGTACCACCGGGGAGGCCCTCACTCAAATATATTTAGATATCAAACTGACTTTATTAAAGGACTCATGAATTGGGCAGTATCCCTTCCAGCAAGTTGAGGAGCTCTGCCAGGGGTTGTAGAAAATGGAAGCTTTTATAGTCCAAAAGAGGGTAGGAAAAGCAAAAGAAAGATTTTTTTTCCAGGCAAATCCCCCTTCCCTCTTGGGAAGGCAGGGCTGGGGGCGCTTCTATGGATAACCCTGCTAGTGTTCACCAGTGAACTCCAGATTGATTGGTTTAAAATTACACTTTTGGAAGAGGTTGAAATTGTAATTAGGTCATGTATTACCTTTTGATGGGGCTTGGCATAAATGACTCCATTTAGGACCTGTTGTTTCTTTTATAATATCACATTACTTTTAAACTGAATTTTTTCCCCCAAGGATTAAGGAAATGATGTCTTGGTAACACTTGGGAAGTGAGAAATAATTTTATTAAAGATGTCTTTAGTAGCCATATAAAATTCTGAGCAGTCTCATTCACCCTTAAGAACAATTTGTCTTATCAGTTTACTGTCAGTTGGCCTTTTTATTCAACCCCCCCTCGGGTCCCCCCAAGCAAGGCTATGTCATGATGAGGAATGCCTGGTGGAAATGTAATTTTGTATGCATATGAATGGAAAGCTGGCATATCTGGCTGCTTGGTCAAGGTGAAGCACTAGGGCTGGCTTGGTCCCTGTTTCTGTCATGTCTGTAGTGGTGTCTTTTTCCAGTATGCCGCCTTACCCCTATCACAAAGAGATATTTTAAAGCACTTTATGTGCTCAGTAGAGAAACTGAATTTGACTTGTTGCATGGTGACTTTTGATTACTCAGGTAGAGAACTAGCAACATTGGTAGTTTTCAAAAAAGAGAAGGTGGGAAAAGGTGATGGGGCATTTATCCTTGGTTTAAAATTGTTTTCAGTGGGGGAAATGTGTTAGCACATGCAATAGAGGGGCACCCCAGGAAACCCCAAACTTGCACTCTCCAAAATGGGGTTCTGCCATCCGCCGCATAAAGAGAAAGCCAACTTTTAGTGTGAAGAACTTTAATAGAATTAGTGTGCATGAAGAGAGAGAAGCAAGGACTTTTTTTTCCCCATGAAAACACTCCAAGTTACCCTCATGGGTAAATGCCCAGCCAAACAGGTTTGGCCCAAAGTGGGGTCACTGAAGCCTGAAAGCTTGCTACAAGTCTAAGATACCTTCTGGCAGGGAAGCACAGAAAAGGGGTTCTGAAGCAGGACCCAGAAAGCTGGGACAAAAGGAGCAAAGTCAAAGTCCAAATCAAGATAAAGGTCACCATTGTCAGCTTCCTCATGAGTTTCTCACCCAAGTGTCTCTCCAAGTGTCTGTATAAGTCTCTCCTCTACGTATCACCTTCTGTGTCTCCTTCCCAGCAGTACCAAGATGCTAGCCTGGCCATGGGAACTAGAGCTCTTCCTTTTTTTTTTTTTTTTTTTGTGACCCCTGCATGCCTTTTGTGATCTATAGCTTCACCTGGCCTCTTAGCCCCCTCCATCATTAAGTGGGGGTGGGTAGCATGGTACCTCCCCTCTTAGAATAGAATAAGGGTGGCTTTGTCCAAACTCTGCCTCCTGTGCCAAGTCTGATTATTACCTGTTTTGAGCTTCTCAAGCTAAGGATGATTTTTATAGTTTTAAATGGTTGGAAAAAATCCAAAGAAAAGAATCTTCCCTGACACATTAAAGTTCTATGAAAATCAAATTTTAGTGTCCATAAAAAAAAAATGTGCCTGGTGTATAGCCACCCCCATCTGTTTCCATGTCATTTAGGATTTACTTTCCAGCTACTGTGGCAGAGTTGAGTAGTTGTGCTAGAAACCATATGGTTACAAAACCTAAAATACTCTCTGGCCTTTTTCAGGAGAAAGATCATTGATCCCTGCTTTACAATAATTTTGGAAGGTCCTCAAACCAGAGAGTTAGTTCTGTGTGCTTTGTTTTCTTTGGGAAAACTTTGTATGAGACTACTTAGCCTCTCAGAGTTCTTTGTGATGTTTTTCACATGGTATGCAATATTTAAATTCAGTACTACCACCTCTAACCACTTCCCAAACAAATGATTACTATAGTATGTCACTAATTTTGGGGTCAAATTTATAACACTGACATTGTTATAACAGCATAATAAGTGATGTCCTTGAACTATCAATAAGATGACTTCACCATGCTTTTATTTAAGAAGGCAGAGATTTTTATATGAGTAACTACAACATGTGGGCTTC